GCCAAGTGCGGCTGGGGTGGGTGGCAAAATCGCCTGCAGTTGAGAATCAATGCTGTAAGTACAATGCTCAAAGGTCAACATCACTTCTCCTGAATTGTATTTTTCGTTCTCTTCCTCCTCCTGCCCTCCTCCTTCTCCATGATAAAAATCAAAACAGCCTGACCACACAAAGTTTGAAAACCACACCAACAATGATACACGTTTTTCTAGGAAGATACCAAAAGAATTGTTTCCGACAAGTAGCCAAGTCTTTAGTGCTGCCCTTACAAAGAATGAAACAAAAAGCAACGTGTAGATGGGAGAAATACAGTCGTTTCTCGCTCACATTAATAAGAAAGCACCCTGCAATCTCCAGTCTGCCCTGCTTCTCGGCAGCATCTGGGGTGTCACAGACTGGCCGTTAGCTGATCCCCCAGAAAGCCACCTGTGGAGCTGGGCAGGGGGCTGGAGCACTTCAGGTGCTACTCCCAACACAACAGATACCAGGGGGACCCAAAGAAGAAACAACACCTGTGCAACTTCATTTCAAGGTCCATTAGCAGCACAAAAGGGGGGAAAATTGCCCTTCCAAATGCAAGTCCTGAAACTCAGCAGGGACATTTTTCATTTGCAATTTTTAAATGGTGGAATAATAATTACGGTTCTTTTTATTGAGAACAGCATCCAAGCTCAAATACATTGCACTTCACCAGCACATACTGGAAATATACTGCATGTGGCTACTCACGTTTGGGAAACGCAGGCCTAGCTAACGTTCCGTGTAGGCTCAATATTAGAAACCAGCCACTGGAGTTGTGCCTGCACCTTCGAGTCTATGACTGTGTTTCCCAAATGACCTTGCAATTGTAAGTGAGCGTAAGGCAAAAGCAATGTTATCATTAAGCGGTGCCTTTCAGCAAACCCTCCATGCTGGCCAGTTATTCAACTAATGTTGAAAGACAAGAACTGGTTCTTTTAAGTATAAATAAATAAATGCGGAGGTACGCAGGCACTCATGCCTTCCCCCAACTGATGGAGAGAGAGGCACAATGTGCCCAATCCCCGAAATATTACAATCTAGAGTTGTAACCATCACCTTCTAGGAAGGCTCCACAGCACGGAAGCATCTGTGGGAAGCTCAGACACGACAGGCCAAAAAAATAAATAAAAAATAAAAAATCCTACTTCATAGGTGGTGTTTGCTAAGGTTTGAGAAAGGGAAATGAGATGCCAAGCCCAACTTCCAAGCAAATCCACAGAAGCAGAAATGGAAAAGAGGAACCAGAAGGAGAAACTCCTTTTAGCAGTGAAACCACATGCTGTCCCCTCCGGCACCATCCAATCCATGTGGGCATTTACTGAGTACTTTCAACAGTTAGGCTTTGAACAAGACGCTATGGGCAAAACAAAGATTAAGTGGATACTGCCGGGCCTCAGAAGGCAAGCACTTTCAAGATCACACTTTTTTTTTTTAATTTTTTACCTTTCCCTATGTTAGCACATGGCAAAGAACTCCAGATCCAATGCTATTCACTCTGTGTCATAATTTAAGATCATAAAAATAGAGAAAAGCAGAATTGTTTTTTTCCAAAAATAAAAGCATCATTCTGAAAGGGGATAATTTTGGTGAAGAAACATTCAAGTTCTTTCTGGGAGGAGAAACTGATTTACTAGGCGACTGGTTGAAGGATGGGGATTTTTTTTTTTTTTTTTTAATCTGGGTTTTAGTTTCTTTGATCCACCTTCATCTTCAGCAAGATAAACTAAGCTCAAAAATGCAGTTCAAGCTAATTCTTGATTTCAATGAAGGTCATGTCCAGCTAGATTTCTCTAGGGGAACATCCCTTTCACATCATCAAAAAGCCCAAGAGCGAATAATTTAGAAAGAAAAGCCATTTTGGATAAAAGGTACAGAAAACACAGCTCAACAGAGGAAGGGTACACACACACAGAGCTATCCCTAAAAAGAAAATATATTTAGGGAACCCTTCTTCAACTGCCATGGTACCCAATTCAGAAGCAGTTTAGAGTCAACCAGAAGATATATCAGCAAGCAATAAGACACAACAGTAAGCAATCAGAAACATCAGTGAGCAATAAGACAACAGAGTAAGCAGTAAAGACACACCAGGGAGAACATTTCTGAGCAATTACCACATGTCTTAATGCAAAAAGAGAGAAAGAAAAACTTCACTCAGTCAGGATTGGAACCCTATAAAAATAAACTCTCTCCCAGCTCCAGAGCCATTTCTGCTATGACAACAGGGGTTTGGGGACAGTTGGGCCATGGCTGAGAGGGCAACAAAAGCAATAAACGGCTTTTTCCTCAACAAGGGCTAACAAACTTAAGTTCTTATCCTTATTTTTGGCACTCTAATATACAGACAAGGCAAAGAGTTTAGATATATGTTGTTTAACCGACAAAGTATAAAGCCCCCTGCCCCCACCCTCTAGGGGAAATAAAGGAGGATGGCTCTATTCTCTGTTTCACATCTATGTCTGCCGTGCCCAGCAGTCTCTCGAAGGGAGGAATGCACATGCGCACAGAGGGACAAGCTTGCTTCTAAACAGGTTGGCCACAAAAACAGACCCTTAAGATACAGAGACCTTCCTTACTAGACAGGTTATTAAATATCCCAGGAAACTGTCAGCTCTCCAGGAACCTCTAAGAAAACGGCAGCATATTCTTTAAAACTTGCCCATTTGTGATGATTTACAAATGAAAGCAAGGAAGACAGAGCCAACACTCTTCTCTTTATGGTGCTTGGTCTTAAGCTGAGCTCAAGGGACTCCAATACCAAAGGTACCCCCCACCCCTCAAACACTCAAACTCCATAAAAAAACCTGTGAAACCACTAACTTCTCCTAGATGTTGAGAAGACTGAGTAAAACCATGTCTCTCTGAGGGTCACAAACAGTAACTGGTATTTCCTGGATGGTTGCTGGATGTTAGTTTCCTCCCCTTCCTTCCAATTATTTTCGGGGTCACAATCCATTTCTAGGAGTCTGTATCTCTTTCATGAGGCCCCTATGCCTCAATCCTACCCACCTTCAAAATGTACCTTCCTGTGAGAAGCCTGATAGCTACCCCCATTTACATGGCCACCGTCTATGGGATTTTGTGCCTATAGATTATTTTCCTAATTGGCCATTAAAAATTTCAAAGACAGAGTGTCTCACAAACAAAAGATGCAAAGGAGGGAGAATGAGATTAATTATCAGAGGCACAACTCTAAATCTGCTCCCTCCTCCCGCCCCCCCAACCCCACAAAACACACAAAATCCTTTGGTTCTTTAAATATTAGTAAAAACACAGTACCAGTGGCATGGCGAAAGGAGACCCATCAGAGCCAACAACTTAGAGAATGTGCTCAAGAGGTAATGTGTTAACTGAGTCAACTAACTCACTCAATACATGGGGCTGGGATCCCACTGGAAAGAAGTAGTCACCAACTCCCTCCCATGTCATTCCTGGAGGTCGACCTACAATTCTGGACCCGGGTACTTGGAGGCCAGGCAGGGTTAGTCTCCCAGTGAGCCCGGCACAAACAGGACAGTCAGTGGTAGCAAGATCCCTCATCAGGCAGAGAATGACAACAGACTTGTTTACACGGGTTGTACAGGACAGAGATGGTAGGAGGCGGCAAAGGTCAAGGAGGAGCACCCCACTCCACCTCTGGAAATAGGACAATGTAGAACTGCCATGAAATCAGATAGGACCTTTCCAACAGCATTTTCTGCTGGGGACAAGGGTGGAGGAGTGGAGCCCGGAGAGGCATGGGTTCCATTTATTAATAAGCAGCTCAACACAGTGGGAGGTTTTCTTGTCTAATTACAGAAGCCGTTGGAAACTGCAGGGAAGAGAGGCTTTATGGCCCAGATGACACTGCCTCTGTGTTGTAATTAAAAGTTATTTTTAATACCTTTCTTTGGTTGGACACTTTGGATTATTAGAAATATATTTTGTAATTTAACACTTGCTAAAGGGCAAAGAACAGAACAGAAAGATAATACAACAAGCTTGCATAGTGGGAAACAATTAAATGTTTTGACACCGGGAGGTAGAAAAGGAAAAGAATCCCTCCCACTTCAGTCCGGACATTTCTACAGTACAAGTCAGAGGTAGAGAGAAACCAAAAAGAACACTAAATTTGATTTTCAAAGTAGCAGAAAGCAACCCAGCTCCTTATTTTATCCATTAAGTAGAGACTGGATACCCCCACCAGGAGTGCAGACAACTCATTTACAACCGTTCACCCGAAGCATCTCATCCTAATCCTCAGGCTCTTTGCTTTGTCACTCTAATGAGAGCAAGTCCTGGCTCGGCCACAGGGACTCGAAGGCCAACCCCAGGGTAGTGCAATGGGGGCATCCAACGTAAGCTATGGGCAATCCAGGCTGTGCGTGATCTGGACTTTGTTTTTAATCTATGCTTCTTCTCTCATCCAAGATTCCAGTTTTGGGAGGGGGCTAGACAAAATGCATCCCAGTGAGAAATGCAGGGTGGTGTCCAGGAGTGGCGATAGAAGCAGCCCAAGATCAGGCAGGGGCCCTTTATTTCATCAGCCCCATTTCTAGAATTTCCATCTCCCCATGTACACACAGGATGCATTTTTCTGCAATGGTGACTTCTTTAACAACAGGAAGGAGAGAATCTCTTGTATGGGACAGACTTTCGAAACTGATGAAAATGGGAAGGAGAAAGGACCTCTAACTGACATGAGCTTCCCAGATAACCTCTCTATTTCACTTATCCATGCTATGAATCTTCTCACTAAAAGTGAATTCGAGAAGCTCATTATGTGAAATATGTCACAGAAACCACCAGATATTACACATCACGATGGGCCTGTAAAAGTCTTTTAACACATTAATCAAAAGTAAACTTAAAATCAGCTTTAGAGGGGCCATACCAAGTTTGATGGGATTTATATCAATAAGAACCACTGTGCCCCTTTATCCTTCCCCCAGGTCAAAGCATGGTCAGCCTCCACGTCAGGGCACACAACCACCATTCTTACCTGCCACATTAATTTTCTCAAGTGCAACCAAGCTGGGAACAGCTGTGGTGGAATTGGTCGAGTTTGTCCCTGTGCCATTGATTACAAGATTGTCCACCTTGGACTCCAACTTTCCAATGCGCTGCAAGATATTATCCAATAGCACGGCAAGAGTTTTCTTCAGATCTGTCAAAGAAAATGCAGATAGTTAAAAAAGTCTTCGGCCTCTGTATGTTTGTCTGGTGCGTTTTCTCTCTCTCTCTCTCTCCTCCTCCTCCTCCGTCTCTCTCTGACATGAAGAACAAAAAAAGTGGCACAGTCAAGAAGTACTGCTTGAAGACGTGTCTGAACAAACCCTATCTTAAAGATGATGGAGGCCATCTTCGAGTGGCCCAGAGAGTACAAAACACATTGGTCTCTTCTGCCATGCGAGTTTGGCAGTAGGTGACATAAAATTACTCCCAGGCACTAGGGCAATAGAGAAAACTTGGTGTTACTTAGCATCCTACCAAAGCACTCTATTAAATTCCTTCTTCTTAGAGCATGATGCTCTGACCTATAGAATGACAATCCCAAAGTGCAGCGAGGTCTTGAAGTACCTTCTGGATCAAGTACATTGTTATTTTCAGTGTTCTATATTCCAGTACATTCCAATTTTTTGCCAAGTCTTTACTTCTGTTGGTTATTTATGGTAATACTTAAAACTACGGTTCCAGATTCTAACTCAGATGTAACTACAATGAGATTTAGAAAGATACCTAAATTAAGACCAGATTCATTCATTCATTCGTTCAGGAAATATTTATAAAACAACTACTATGTGCTAGGCACTGTTCTAGATGCTGGGGATATTCTCTCATTTAAGAGTTGATTCTAATGGGGTGCCTGGGTGGCTCAGTCGGTTAAGCGTCTGCCTTCAGCTCAGGGCATGATCCTGGGGCCCTGGGATCGAGCCCTGTGTCAGGCTCCCTACTCAGCTGGGAACCAGCTTCTCCCTCTCCCTCTACCCCTGCCCCAGCTTGTGCTCTCGCTCACTCTCTATCTCAAATAAATAAAATCTTAAAAAAAAAAAAAGAGTTGATTCCCTTTTTCACACACCAGACTGTGGGTTAAATGCTGCACTTCTCTCTAGACAGACATTTACCTTCATGTATACATAAGCGTTTACTAAGTTTGAACACAAGGTATTCCACACACACAAGAAGATTAATTAAGCCTCTCTCCTCTGGAAACTCATAATCAAAGAAAGATATATTGACCTGCACATGTGAGAAAAGCAGAAGGACACCAGGCTAGCCATCCATGTGAATAGAATTCAGCCTCATGAATGAATTGGGAGTGGTTCAGGGGAGAAGAGCACCATGTGGGGAGCAGGATATGCAAAGTCCTGAACTGAGATAAATGCAAAATTGCCACTTTCCCTTGTACTGGGAACAGGGCAAACTTGCTTTGAGTAGGTGATCTCACCTGGCCAGGAGAGAAGCACACACCAGATTAATTCACCAACCCCAGAACGCAGCCAGCCAACCCTGAACCTTGGCCAGAAAGCACTCAGGCTGTCCTATTTTGTCAGGGGGAGAGGGAGGTTGTCAGAACAGAAACAAAGGTGTGTAACGAACTTGGAAGTTTGTGTTGTTGGCGGTTTACAGATGGGAGGCATGGCTGGAGCAGACTAAATACTGCAAGCAGAAAGCAAACCCACACCTCTCTCCTCAAAGTCTGGTGCTCTCCGCTTGACATAAGCGCAACCTCCCCACCGCTCTCCCCAAACGGATCATCGGACTTCTTCACGATGTTAACCTCTGAAGTGGTTCGTTCCTTCATTCTAACAAACACCCGACCAGGGCTATTTCTCACTCTTCAGCCCGTCTCTTCCCTACAGGTAAGAAGAACTGGCCACAACATTAGAGCGACAGGGCTAAAAATATTATAGCAGAGAAGGGCACAAGGGATCTAGTGTTTCCTGAATGCCTATAACATGCCACACACACAAATCTAAGAAACCCCACGTTATCTTCACCTCCTCCGGGTAAAATGACTTCATTTTACAGGGAACACGGAGGTTCACAGACATGAAGTAACCTGCTCACAGTGACAGAGATAATAAACTGGAATGGGGACTTGAATAGGGTTGGCCTAATTCCCTGATGCCTCAGCAGCTCAGCCAGAAGTCAAGAGTCAAGGTAGAAAAAGAACCCAAGTGTGAAATTCAAGGTCTTTCATCCACAGCACTATGGTTAGGGGCCCAGACTCTGGAGCCCAAGTTTCTCAGTTTACGTGCTTGTTCTCCACTGTTTCCTTATCTGTCAAGGAGTGCTAAGAATAAATCTACCTCTTTGCATTGTTATGTGGACTTCATGAGTTAATTTTTACAAAATGCTCTGAACACCACTTGGTACATGATAAGCACCATATAATTATTGCCTGCTACACATATAAATAAAAAATATCTGGGAAATGCTCTCATCCTTCCTTAAGAAATCTCTTCCTGAGTGATGGAGGACTTTTATCACTTGATCGAAGGGTCATGAGCTCACTCTCCTCCAGGAGCTGCAGTCCCGTGGTCAGCGTGACTCACAGTCTACCCCTGGCTCATCCTTCGCTGGCAGAAAGAGGAGCCAGCCACCAGCTTTGCTCTTACGGTGCATCTAAAGCATCAACTGCTTCTCCAGAATTCTGAAGATTGCCAGAGGCTGGCCATGCGGACAGAGGCAGTGGTGCCACTGGGAGGTGGCTGCAGTATGTGACAAAACCACCCCTCAGATACAGGATATCAAGCCCCTCCATCTCCAGCCTCGTTGCCTGAAGGTCCTATCACCAGCCAAGCAGTCCACAGGTAAAAATGACATTTAGCTATTACCAGCAATTGAGATGAGCTAGACACAGAAGCCCTGGACCCCTAGGATGGGTTAAATCAGGCTTTCTCAGCTTTGACCCTATTGACACTTTGGGTCAGACAATTCTTTGCTGTTGAGGGATGTCCCGTGCATTGAAGGATGTTGGGAAGCACTCCTGGCCTCCGGCGCCTGAATGACAGTAGCAATCCCTCTATGTGACAACCAAAAACGCCTCCAGACGTGCCAATACCCCAATTTGAGAGCCACTGAGTTAGGTATATGCTCCCAGCCCTTTCTTCCTCACTGCCCCTTTGTACAGGTGAGGTGTGAGAACAGTCACTGAACTCACATTCTGTGTGACCTCCATTCACTAAGGTTTTGGAGGCACTGCTACAAATATATACGAAGTACAATGAAGGAATCAGCCCTTCTCCCTACAGGAGCTGACAGAGGCCCAGCCTGTGCTGATGGTCTCTCGAGGGCTGGTAACCTTCTGCAACTTTTTGTCTTTTTGTTAAAAGGCAAGAGGACTATGGGACAGAGCCCCCCAACCCATAGTTATGGGTGGTAGTCACTGGTGGGACACACCCTAGGTAGAATACAGAACTGTCACATCAACCTTAAGAAGAAACAAACAAATGGAAAGATAGTATATTCCCTGCTCACGGATTGGAAGAATATTGTTGAAATGTGTTCTATTCTGCCCAAGGCAATCTATAGATTTAACGCAATCGCTATCAAACTACCATCCACTTTTTTCAAAGAAATGGAACAAATCATCCTAAAATCTGTATGGAACCACAGAAGACCCTGAATAGCCAAAGCAATCTTGAGAAAGAAGATCAAAGCTGGAGGTATCACAATTCCAGATTTCAGGATATACTATAAAGCTGTAGTAATCAAAACAATATGGCACCGGCAAACAAACAGGCACATAGATCAATGGAACAGAATACAGAGCCCAGAAATAAACCCACAGTTGTATGGTCCATTAATCTATGACAAAGGAGGCAAGAATATGCAATGGGAAAAAGATAGGCTCTTCAAGAAATGGTGTAGGGACAACTCGACAGCTACATGGAAAAGGATGAAACTGGTCCACTTTCTTACACCATACACAAAAATAAACTCAAAATGAATTAAAGACCTAAATGTGAGGCCTGAAATCATAAAAACTCTAGAGGAGAGCACAGGTATTAATTTCTCTGACATTGGCCATAACAACATTTTTCTAGTTATGTCTCCTGAGGGAAGGAAAACAAAAGCAAAAATAAACTATTGGGACTACACCAAAATAAAAAGTGTTTGCACAGTGAAGGAAACCATCAACAAAACAAAAAGATGACCTACTGAATGGGAGAAGATATTGGCAAATGGTATATCTGATAAGGGGTTGATCTCCAAAACAAATAAAGAACTTCGGTAACATACCCCCAAAACCAAATAATCAAATTAAAAAATGGGCAGAAGACATGAATAGACATTTCTCCAAAGAAGACATCCAGATGGCCAACAGACACATGAAAAGATGCTCAACCATCACTCATCATCAGGGAAAGGGAAATCAAAAGTACCATGAGACATCATTACCTCACAGTTATCAGAACGGCTAAAATCAACAACACAAGAAACAACAAGTGTTGGTGAGGATGTGGAGAAAAAGGAACCCTCATGCACTGTTGATGGTAATACAAATGGATACAGCCACTGTGGAAAATGGGTTCCTCAAAAAATTAAAAATAGAAATACCAGTAATAATCCAGTATACTGCTACTGGGTATTGACCCAAAGAATAGGAAAACACTAATTCAAAAAGATATTCGCACCCCTCTATTTATTGTGGAATTATTTACTACAATAGCCAAATTATGGAAGCAATCTAAGTGCCCATGAACAGACAAATGGATAAGAAAAATGTGGTGTACACAAAGGAATACTACACAGCCATAAGAAAAGATGAGATCATGCCATTTGAGACAAAATGGGTAGACCTAGGGAGTATTATGGTAAGTGAAATAGTAAGACTGGGAAGGACAAATACCTTATGAAAAAAAAACAAAAACAAAAAGCAGAATCAGACCTACACATACAGAGAACAAACACCTGCCACAGAGGAGGGCGTGGGGGATGAGCAACATGGGTGAAGGGGAGTGGGACAGAGGCTCCCAGTTATGGAATGAGTAAGTCACAGGAGTAAATGGCGAAGCATAAGGAATACAGCCAACGACATTGTAATAGTGATGTAACGGGACAGGTGGTAATTACACTAGTGATGAACACAGCATAATATACAAACTTGTCAAATCACTAAGTCACACACTTGAAACTAATGTAACATTGTGTGTCAAC